ACCGGAGCAGAAACGAAGGAAAAAAACCAACGTGATGCTACTAGGGTATCTCCAAAGCGGACCCTCAAACCTCCCGCAAGAGTCCATGTCGCGTTGTCCGAAAGCAGTTTACCATCCAACATGGTCATGCGTCAGTGTGCCGAGTGATCCGGACATACTTTCTTGGTAAACCTGAGACAAACTGGGGGCATTGCGGGAGTCTGGATATCTGCACGAACAACAAAAAGCCGTCACTTACCATCTCTACTCTGCGTCCACCCATGATGCCTACTCCCTCCGTCCGCAAATAAGTGTACATCTAGCTTTTGTTCTAAGTCAAAGTTTTAAAATTTTAACCAATTTTATAAAAAAATAGTACTAACATATATGACATCAAATTGGTATATTATCAAAGTAGTGATGCTAATTTAGTGTCATAAATGCTGCTACTTTTCCCTAGAAATTTGGTACTACCTCCGTCTCGGTGAATAAGTCATTCGCGTAGTTCTAGGTCTACGATCTAACTATCTAAATATGTATTATATGTGACAAAATATATATATTTAGAAACTACATCCGTGTAGAAATCTAGTGATATACTTTTCATGACATATAACACATATTTAATTCTTCAAATCGATGACCTAGAACTACGCGAATGACTTATTCACCTAGACGGAGGTAGTAAAGTTTTTAAAACTTTGACTTAAGACAAAAGCTAGATGTACACTTATTCACGGACCGAGGAAGTAGTATTTAGCGAAATGCAATGTGCTAATTGCAGCAGATAGCTAGCATATTGGCGGAAGGTAATACTGAATAGTATATTTGCATTTGACGGAAAATTGATATTTTTATTAAGCAAATTAGGTAGTCATTTGGCGGAATCGAAGGTGCTCATATCATTTGGCCGAAGGTTTGCTTAGTAGCCTTGCTTAGATTTGGTGGAAGGTTGGCTTCCTCCATGGTGGTGTGCTTAGTAGCCTTGCTTAGTGCTTTTAGTAGGTCTATTTAGCCAAATGTTTGTTTTTAGTAGGTTCATTTAGCCAAATGTTTTGGATGTATGCGGGCGGCCGCCGCCTCGAATATCCGTGTCCACTGAATGATACCTTGTCCGTGGATGGATGTCGGAGCAAATTTTTGGGTCAGCGTTGGAGATGTCCTTAACGACTGCTAGGGCCATAGATGGAAGGAAAAACTTTACAAATTCAGCTTCTTGATGAGATGAGTTCCCCACCTTAGATCTTGCTTTCCATTATGATACTCGGAGATTTGGTGTCAGTTGGGAGTACTTGCGCAAAAGCTGAGTTCCTCTCGTCGCTCCCTGCTCGTGCTGCCGCCATCTCGGCGGCATGCGCCCTCGCCGCCCTTTGCCATGGCGGACGCTACCTCTGCGTCCTCCCTTCCCCCTCCTCCTCCCCTCCCTGTTGGCTTTGTCCCCATGCGTGTTGTTGAGGGGGCTTGCCCACCGGCGGTGAGGTCCGCTTCCTTCCGGGACGCATTAATGGCGCCTGCGATGGGGGGCCCTTTTGCCCTTCGGCCTAGGCTCAGGTCGATGATCTCCGTGTCATGCCCTAGCGGGATGGAGGCCTCTGCCTGCGTGGGGGGGCGTGAGCACGCGCCTGGCGACGCCATTGATGGCAGTGGTTGGACCCAGGTCCGCAGTAGGCAGCGGCCTCGCTCTTCAATGCGTCACAACCATCTTCCCCCGCCTTCAGAGCTCAAGCTGTTGCTTCTTAAGAAGGCCAAGGGGAAGTGTTTTCGATGTCTTTCGCCTTACCATCGCATTGCCTCGTGCCGGAACGCTGCTTGCTGCCTTCTCTGCGGCGAGATTGGTCATAAAGCTTGGGGGTGCCCGGTCAGGAAATCGCCTTCCCCGGCTGCTCCTTCGCCTCCAGTCGCCCCTGCCTCTGGCAGAGCTCCCCTCGTTCCCGCTGCTGGTGGTGCTTCCCGCCCAACTCAAGACCGCTTCCCCCTGCCCAGGAGAACCATGGAGGCGCCGGGAGGGGAGAGGAGGACGGAGGTCTTCGCTATGGCGCCGCGCTCGGCGGCGATGGTGGATGCGGAGCATAGACTCATGCGGCATGCGGTCGTCACTGTCGTCGTGGGTTTCAGGCCAGATCTTCGGCTGATGAAGGTGCAAAGGGCGGTGGCCTCGCACTTCCACATCGTGGACGACGCCGTCAAGGTCACCCTCCGTGCGACGGGGGAGTTCCTGTTCTCCTTCTCCGACCCGGCCACAAGGAACCTGGCCCTGGGGGCCCAGGGGCCCCTAGTGTTGGGGCGCGTCTCCTTCCTGTTGGCGCCTTGGACGCGCTTCAGGCGTGCGGTGGCTGCTACTCTTCCGTTCAAGGTGCGCGTCTGCATCGAGGGTGTGCCGGACCATGCATGGGATGTTGCTTCGGCGACCCCCCTGTTCGCCGGCACGGGTCTCATCGACTCCATCGACCACTCCACCAACTGCGAGGAGGAAACTGCTTGCCTGCGGCTCTGGGTGTGGATGGCTAATGTCAACCACCTGGCGCGCCGCGGCATCCTTTGGCTTGAGGAGCCAATCGAGGTGGAGTCGCCGCTCAGGCACTTCCCGGAGCTGGGCATCCTAGCTGAGCCGGCGGTCAGGCAAGGGCCTCTGCAGATGCTGGCCCACCCGGTCCGGCTTCACCTCGACAGGGTTCTTGACTACTCTGCTCAGCCTGGCCGCAGCCCTGATAGCAACATCAGCTCCCACAGCAACGCTAGCGGTATCCCTTCTGATGGATCTCCCTCCGGCGGAGGGCCGGTAACCTGGGGATACCGCTAGAACCTGGAGTACGATGATGGCACTTTTCCTCCGCCGCCTCCTTCTCGGGGTCCGGTTCACTCTAGGCTGCGCTTCCCAGAGGACAGAGACGGCAACGGCGGCGCCGGCGGCAGTGGGAGTAGTAGCTTCGGGGGCGGCCGGGACGGTCGTACTGGAGATCGCGCCTCTGGCGACCGTCGACCGCCTGCTGGTGGCGGTGGCAATCGGCACATCTTGCGGGCTACGGCATCTTCGTCCGGCGGCCATGGTGGATGGAGGAGAGAGAAGACATCTGACGCTGCGCTGCATGGTCCCGTTGATGCTGCTGCTCTGCTTGACCAGGCTGTGGCGGGCCACGAGCCGATGCATGGCGTGCATGCGCGCTTGGCTGAGAGTGGCTCAGATGTGGGGGCCTAGTGTGCTGCTGCGGAGGCTTTGGTGGTGACGCGTGCGGGAGAGAAGTGTACTGCCTTGGATGGTTTGACCATATAGTTTGGGGATGGAGCGTTGCTGCAGTCCGAGGATCCCAGTATGGCTGCCTCTCATTCTCTCGCAAGTCTGCATTTGCTGCCCCTGGCCGACCAGACGGTGCAGACTCAGAGCCTGATGGACTGTGGACCATCTCTTGCGCTGGTTCATGGGTCTGAGAACGACGACAAGCTGGTGGGACCTGCTGAGCTGGCCATGGTGCAAGATCTGATCTGCTTCTCTTTGCTCCCAATAGCCGGTCGGGGTGCTGAGTCAGTGGGAGATAACGAGGGGGCTAGCAAGCTGGCCCAGCTGGTTGAAGAGGTGCGGCTGTCCTTGGGCGGTGGTGGGCTTAGAGTGGAGATGGGCCCCGTCCCAGTGGAGCCGCCTCTGGCCTCTCTGGTGACGGGCCTTGACCTTTCGGAGCTGGGCCATGAACCTGGGGCGATGGAGATGGGCCACAATCTGGTGGTAGGCAACGCTTCACAGGAACTAAGCCACGCTTCAGAACCTGTGGAGATGACCAGCCCCCTCCCAAATCCACCGGATGCTCTGCAATCCTTCCTCATCAACATGGCCTCCGCCGCCTTGCCGCCAATCCTTCCAACCCCGGCGGCCTCTTCCTCCCCTTCCCCTCTTCTGCCTACGGAGGTCGGACCGCGCTCCAAGAAGAAAGGGCCTGTGTGCGCGGAGCTGCTGCCCACCAGATCCAGTGGCAGGCTTGCGGCGAAGCCCTCCTGCAATCTTCCGTTCATGGAGAAAGCACAACTGGTGCTCATGAAGAAGGGGGGGCTCCTCCCACCTGAAGGCTCGCCTGGCGCCCAAGACCTGCAGCGCTACCGCAACCTCTACAAGCAGGCGCTGCCCGGCTTCTTCATCAAGGCGATCTCCTCCCTTGTAGACGCTGCCAGCCCGAAGAAGGGCTCTGTTGACTCCTTGCCGATGGTGGTTCAGGCTTGAGCTGGTTGATGTTGATGTGTGTTGAGTTTCCCCTCTATTTCCCAATGTTTGAAAAATTTATTGTTCCCCTGTTATAGGCGCTGGCGTGGCCGTTGGCTGTTACAACTTGTTGGATGGCAAAGAGTGGATGTTGCTGGTGTGATGCTGAGTTTGATTTGGTTTCCATATGGAGTTGTCTATTATGAGCTGGAACGTTAGGGGCCTCTGCAACCCGGCAAAGAGAGGGGCTGTTGCTAAATTGGTATCTGATTGTGGCTGTAATATCATTTGCCTTCAAGAGACAAAGCTGGCTGTTATTGACAAAAAACTGGTGTCTGAAACTCTGGGTGCCCGCTTTCAAGACAACTTCATCTTCCACCCGGCAAATGGTACCAGGGGTGGGATGCTCATTGCCTGCTCCTCGGATTTCACGATTTCTGCTGATGGGTTGGCACCTGCCCAGTTCTCCCTGTCCGGCACCGTTACCTGCAGAGCTGACAACCGCTGTTGGTACTTATCCAATGTCTATGGACCGCAGATGGAGGCTGACAAAATTTTATTTCTGCAAGAGCTCAGGAGCTTAAAATTGGTTGCTAAGGAGGAGTGGCTCATTGTTGGTGATTTCAACATGATTTGTCGGGCGGAAGATAAGAGCAACAGTAATCTGAACTTGAGGATGATTGGTAGGTTTAAAGCTGTGATTGCTGATCTGGAGCTGCGAGAACTACCTTTGTTGGGGCGGCGTTTCACGTGGTGCAATGAAAAGGAAAAGGCAACCCACACCAGAATCGACAAGATGCTCATGTCCAAGGAGTGGGAGCTGGCTTTTCCCCAGTTACAATTGTCTCCTGCGTCCTCTTCTGTCTCTGACCATTGCCCCCTGGTCCTAAAGAAGATGGATTGTAAAAAGTATAAGGGGTTTCGATTTGAGTCCTTTTGGCTTAAATCGGAAGAGTTCCCTCAGATCGTCTTTCAGGCCCGGAACAAGCATGTTCACTCCCAAGACGCAATCAGGGTCCTTCACACAAAGCTCACCAGGACGGCCAATGCTCTTAAGAAATGGGACAAGGAGAAAAGAAAGGCTAGAAGACTGCAGGAAGACATTGCCAATGAAGTTATTTTTCAACTTGATGTGGCCCAAGAGGACAGAGATCTCTCCTCTGATGAGAGAAACCTGAGAGCTTCCTTAAAAACTAAGCTCCTAGGGTTTGCGGCTATTGAGAGAATCAGGTGGAGGCAGAAGTCCAGATTGCTTGGGATCAAAGTCAATGACGCCAATACAAAGTTGTTCCACTTGAGGGCAAATGGGAGGAGGCGTAAAAACCATATTCCAACACTGGTGGGGCAGCAGGGGGCAAAATCTGAGCACAAGGAAAAAGAAAAGATCCTCTTCGATCATTTTCAGGGCCTTCTGGGTAATATGCAGCCGCGTCGTTTCTGCTTGAATGAGAGCTTCCTCGAGCTCCCCACACCGCAACTGCAGCACCTGGACTGCCAGGTTACCATGGAGGACATCAAGGTGGCTATATGGTCTTTGCATGGCGAAAAGGCACCTGGTCCAGATGGTTTCATTGGTAATTTCTTCAAAGCATGTTGGGATCTAGTGAAAATTGATTTGCTGAAGGCGTTGGAACAGATCTTTGACCTGAAAGGGGACACTTGGAATTTGCTGAACACTGCCCACCTTGTGCTCATCCCAAAGAAGGACGGGGCTGCTACTGCTGGGGATTTCAGACCCCTGAGTTTGATGCATAGCATTGCGAAGATTCTTTGCAAGATATTGGCCAACAGATTGGGTCCGGAATTGGATAGTATTGTCTCCCACAGCCAGAGTGCTTTCATCAAAAAAAGATGCATCAATGACAATTTCCTCTTTGTTCGCAACGTGATTAAGGAGGCACATGTGAAGCGGACTCCCATGCTCTTCATGAAATTGGATATTGCAAAAGCTTTTGACTCTGTGCATTGGGACTACTTGCTTGAGGTGTTGCGGGCCTATGGCTTTGGGCAAAAATGGAGAGACCTTGTGTCCTTGATCTTGGCCACCTCTTCCTCTAGGGTTCTGCTCAATGGAATTCCTGGGAAACCTTTCAGACACAGGCGTGGGCTGTGGCAGGGCGACCCGTTGTCGCCAATGTTGTTCATTCTGGCTCTTGACCCACTCCAAAAGCTCCTTTCCAAAGCCACTGATCCGGGCATCCTTTCCCCAGTTCGCAACAGAGCTGCTTGTCTGCGTGTCAGCTTCTATGCTGATGATGCAGCTTTGTTCATTAATCCTAAGCAAGAGGACATTGTGGGGGTGCAGGCCATTCTTTCGAGGTTTGGGGACATCTCTGGGTTGCAAACGAACCTGCTCAAGACTGTCGCTTACCCCATTAGATGCGAGCAAATTGATATGCCTAGCTTGTTGGCTGACTTTGGGGGTATCCCTGGAAACCTCCCTTGCACCTACCTAGGCTTGCCTCTGAGTATTAGGAAACCAACCCGGGCTGAATTGCAGCCTACCTTGGATAAACTTGCTGGGCGATTGTAGCCATGGAAAGGGAAGCTCATGACCAAGCTGGGACGGTGCTTGCTTGTAAATTCTGTCCTCACAGCAACTCTCACGTACATCCTTACCTCCTTTGATCTGAGTGCTTGGTTCATTAAGAGGATTGACAAGCTGAGGCGGGGCTTTTTGTGGGCTGGCGAAGAGGTTGCCCATGGAGGGAAATGCATGGTGTCCTGAAAAAAAGTGTGTGCTCTGAAGTTGACTAGGGGCCTCGGTATCAAGGACTTAAAATGTTTTGGTAGAGCTCTTCGCTTGCGCTGGCTGTGGATGGAGTGGGACTATGTTCAGAGACCATGGAAGGGGACTCCGGTGCCTTGTGACGACTCTGATAGGGCACTTTTCCAGGCTTGCACTAAGATCACCATCGGGGATGGGTGCTCGGCCAAGTTTTGGAAGGATAGATGGCTGGACGGCGAGTCCCCGGCTATGGTAGCTCCTTTGATGTTCAGATTGGCCTTAAAGAAAAACAGCTTGGTTAAAGACGCCTTGCACAATGGTTGCTGGATGAGAGGATTAATGCGCATGAACTCTCACGAGGAAATCCACCAATTCTTGGGACTTTGGGAGAAGGTCTAAAATGTGCAACTATCAACCTCCAGAGATAGCATTGCCTGGCATCTGTCGGCTGATGGTTCGTACTCGGCACCACGCACAGTTCCTTGGGCGCTTGCACCAACCAGAGCTGGCCAGTGTTTGGAAGGTGAAAACGGATAGGAAAATAAGGTTTTTCCTTTGGCTTCTGCTTCAGAACAGAAACTGGACTGCGGACAGATTGCTTTTGCGCGGATGGCCACATGATCCAAAGTGTAAACTATGTGACTTGGTGATTGAAACGGCGGCACATCTCTCTTTTCAGTGCCCTTATGTGAGGCAGGTGTGGCTTTCGCTGAGCGCTACTCATGCTGACCTCACAGCTACAGCGTTGGCTGCCTCCTCGGTGAACTCCTGGTGGGGCGCTTTGCTCCAGCTCAAGCCCAACAAAACAAGGAACAACTCGCTCTCCATGGCATCTTTCGCTCTTTGGAACATCTGGCTGGAAAGGAACAGAAGAACCTTCGATGGAAAGTGCACTTCGGCAGCTGATGTTGCCAGGCTTGCTAGTGATGACTTTCGCCTCTTAGTTGAGGCATGTGGGGGTTAGGCTTAGGTGTTGGGCGACAGGGTTGTTCATGGCCCTCTTGCCTGTTTTGGTTACTCCTTCTCTGTAAGCTGATCTTCAGCTGATGTACAGTTGTTCCCTCCTCTTAATGCAATGGCAGAGCTCCTGCTGGTTCGGTTCAAAAAAAAATTATGATACTCAATGGACCACTAGAGTGGAATACAGTTTTAATTGAGAGTTTTGTTGATTTAAACTTGATTCCAAAAGATTATATGCTGGTGTTTGTTGTTGGTTGAGTTATTGAGTTTGCAGGTTATCCTCCGGTGCATGTATAGCCGAGAATCCAACCCATATTATGTAATTTTGGTATCAAACTCGGGCGGCAAAACATGTATGACAATGACAATAGCTTTAGCAACGTATGTTTTTTTTAGCAAAAAGATCCCTCTCCCTACGATTTCATATAAAGAAATCAACTGATCTTTTACAAGCAACTGCACTACAACTACTCCTTCCGTCCCAAAATAAATGCTTCAACTTTAATACAACTTTGTACTAAAGTTAGTACAAAGTTAAGACACTTATTTCGAGACGGAGGGAGTATATGCTTATCAAGCAATAATTTCGTCTCTTTTCACATTTCAATTACCAATAGACCAATACAAGCAGTCAAGCACTACAGAAGCACTAACATAGATGTTCCATCCAGTTATTTACATGGTATATACAGGTTCTTCAGCAGGCATCCAAGCCCAGGCACAGCCAAGTTTGAAGGCATATTCACTTTGCAGAGTATATTCTGCAAGAGGTTCCGCGGGTTCATATATGGTATGAGAACGATGAGGTCAAGGAGTAGGGGATCCGGGTTAGAGCGGCAGGCTGCGGCTGGAGCTTGTGGATGTCCCTCACGATGTCGAACACTGCTTCGGGCTGCGCTAGCTTCAGCGCATTGCGGGAGTACCTCCTGAGCTCGTCAGTTTCTGTGGTAAACCATCGGGCAACTTGTCTTGCAGCTTCACCTGCGTCCTTACAGAACACACCGGCGCCGTTGTCGACCACGTAAGGCACATTCCCTACTTCCTGAATGATAAGAGATAAGGGCTAAATGTTAGCTAGAGACATATTTGATGAGATCTCGGTGGAAGCTAAGTAATCACTAGTCAATGACAATGGCAACAAGCAGTCACTCTCAGATGGCCTACCAATAACGGAAATATAATCAGCACTCGTAGTCACCACGCAAAAAGAAGAAAATTGAGCTACTCTAGTCTAGATTGTCTGGACCAACTAAAATATTTTTTTAGCTGACTAAAATCCTTTTGATAGGGTCCTATAATTGTATGATTCAAAACTACTGCAGTGGCACAAGCATAGACCTGTCCGGGTATGAAATCGTTGAGAATAATTGGAAGTCCTCTTATCAAGGCTTCTGCAATTGTGCCAGGGCCAGCCTGCAAGTGCCACAACAATGCATCAGTCAGATCACTAATGAAGAGTCAAAAGGCATAGCATATACATCCTCCGTCTTTAAATATAAGCCCTTTTAGAGATTTCAACACGGACATACGGATATATTTTAAAGTGTAGATTTACTAATTTTGCTCCGTATGTAGTCCATATTGAAAAAATCTATAGAAAAACTTATATTTAGAAACGGAGGGAGTATATCTGCAAGAAGGAACCTTGATTACCTTAGTGATGATGCAGTCGCAAGCGCCCATCCACTTCTCCATCTGCTTCTCGAACCCTCTAATCTGAAGACAAAACGCTCGAAAAGTTCAGTCAGCACCAACCAAACAATCACTTGTAGCATAGTGAGGCATCCATCTGAAATGCGCATCTTAGATTCGGCATCTGCAATGGTACCTTGACAGGGACCTTCCATGGCAGGGACAGCAAGGTGGACCGCAGCGCCTGATTCCTGCCGCATATGACCACGACCTGCCCGACCGGCCGGCGTCTCCGGTGATCGTAGAGCTCGTGGCCGAGGGCCTTGGCCGTCTCCTCCACCGGGCCCATCCCTTCACCGCCTCCCATCAGTAGAACAGCAGGCAGTTCAGGGTGCAGGCCAAGTTCTTTCCTCAGCCCATCCTGTCAACCAACCAAGCAGAGTTCAAGAGCTGATTGGACCCGGCAATGGCAGAAGAATGCGAAGGTCGAAGACATGCCGACCTTGTCGAGCACGGCGCGGCAGAAGGATGGCCTGATCGGCAGCCCGTACACGCGGATTTGTGACGGGTCGAGCCCGCGGGTCAGGGCCCTCTTCACCACCTCGGCCGAGGGGCAGTAGCACCTCGTCACGCCGTGGTGGAACCTGCCAAGTTCGTGGTTTCAGATGCTACTCCTGAATCCTGATCAGTCAAGAAAATCCCCAGTTTGCACCGTGCCGGTTGGTTACCATGTCGGGTGGCAGGTGTTGAGGTCGGTGATGACGGTGAAGAACGGGACCTTGGGCTGCAGGCTCTGCCACTTGAGCACCCACAGCGGGATGTGCTGCATGAGTGGGTGCACGCTGATGATCACGTCCGGCTTGTACTTCATCATCCCGGCCACCACCTCGCTGAAGCAAAACAAAATTCATAATTCAAGAACCTCAACAAGGCCATTCCGTGAATCGAGTGTGGCTGGAATTCGTACTTGGCGTAGAGGTAGGCGAGGGCGGTGAGGTACATTCCGTGAACCCAGCGCGGGGAGGTGCCATGGAAGGCCACCTTCCAGAGCCGGACATGGCGGATCATGAACTTGTACGACCGCTCCATGTCGTTCAGCGGCCAGCCGCCGTACTCTTTCCCCAAATCCCTGACGAACACCTGCGCCGACCAGCCAGCAGCAAACCAAATTTAATTTAACAAAATGACATTTTGGAGAGCGAAACTGAAGGTCCAACTTCGGAGAGCAGAGGTTAAGGCTTGTAGGACCTGGTAGGCGTCGCCGAAATCGAGGCGGAAGGCGTCGCGGAGAGCCTCGGCGGAGGCGCGGTGGCCGCCGCCGGTGTCGCTCATGAGGATGAGCACGTTCCTCACTGCCTTCCCACTTACGCTGCCGTCGGTGGCGGGGGTGCGGGAGAGGGAAACGCTCCCAGTGGCCTCGGCGAGCGCGGCGGCGAGGCCTTCGCCGGGAATCCCGTCGTAGAAGGCGCAGCGAAGGGGCTTGTGGAGCTGGCGGCCCCCGCCGAGCATTGCGTCGCGCATGGAGCGCCGGTGGCTGGGGACCGAGATCACCATGGCGCCGCTCCTTGGGTCCTATGAGCTCGTCGTAGACTGCGAGCCTGCCCTTTGCCGTCGGCCTGAAGCGAAGACGCGGGCGGGGAAGAGCGCTTTATTCGAGCTCTTGTGTGGATGTATTTCACTTCACCCCCTGATGTAAGTCATATTTGCTTACTCTGTGGAGGAATCTACCGTGTAATATTCCTTTTCCAGGAGCTGTTTAGGACTTATCAGTAATTATGCTCATGCGTAAGGGTGCACGTAGAAAAGGGTGAGATTGGCTGGTGACTGCAAGGTAAAGTAGAAGCGGACAAGGCAACTCGACTACCACCATGGGATGGGAGGGGGGAACGGAACGGCTGGATGATTGCTTGGAGCAGCGTGCTGAGCGGGAGGCGAGAGGATGATTCTGCGAGAGATGCTCGAATTATGCCGTGCCGCCTCTTGTTCACTGATCACTTTAGGCTTCTTTAAGTCGTCTCCCAGAATCCACACAAGATTGTGGAGAAATGTTTTTCATGGTAAATCATGTCCGCCGAATGACTAGTTTAATTGACGAGTATGGCAAATCCATATCGGTTCATATTTTTTACCAGAGAATTGTCATGCTTGCAAGCTAAAATTATCGTCACCGAGCCAATATAAATTGCTGAAGAAAACGTTAGATTTGCCATGCCTATTTTCGATGTTATATTCTAAGATAGAGTGTATAATGGTTATGTATACCCCTAGTAAATTTATATACAAAATATAATAGGTTCCATGAAAAGTACTAAGGCCCTTTTTGGTTTATAAGGGCATGTACAATGGGCACACTAGTATACAAGTGCCCCAGACTCCATGTATGAAATAAAAATTTGAAGCACTACATCCACAAAACCCATCATGGTCCCCTTCCCTACCTTCTCTTTCCCTATCTTCCTCTGGTCTAGCCAATAGCGACCCATTCCATCTCTTTTTCTCCATCGCTTTTGCATCATTCTTCTCTTTCTCTCCTTCATTTTTGCTGGAGCGTCGGTCTCCTCTACAGGATCCCGTTCGGCTCTGTAGGTAGCTAGCTTTTTTTTTTGCTTTTCTCTCCACGCGGCAACGCGTCCAACATGGTAGGCCGGGGCACTAGTCCAGCATGGAGTGTTGGCCATGCCCTAAGCCCTAGGACTTTTTTACTCCCAACTAATAAGTCGCTAGTTCCTAAAAAGTCCCTACCTTTTTGGTTTCTGAAACTAAACATGGACTAAAAGACCATGTTACAACTAAAAGTCTCAATAAGACTCTCCCTCAGGGTCTTCTCTCATAAGTCTCAAATGCTCATTTTAAGTCCCTATAAGTCCCTTCTGTTTGGTTTAGATGGGACTAAAAGAGACTTTTTAAAGTCCCTACACCAATAAATTCCTATAAACAAACACCCCCTAATACTGGAACAATTTTTTTCCTAAACAAGTTCCTATTTTACTCAATTCCCTTTAAAATAATACTACTCCCCTTGTAAAGAAATATAAGAGCATTTAGATCACTACTTTAATGATCTAAACGTTCTTATATTTCTTTATCGAGGGAGTATATTTTATACACTAGTTTATTAGGGTAGTTATTTGCCATTAATCATATAGATTTTGACGATCTTAACTGGACAGTGAGAGGAACTGGAGGAACTACTGGCAGGAGTGTAGTACCTAGCTGTTGGTATCTATTCTCAGTGGTCTACGTTTGTGAAGACAATATCTGAGCCCCAAGGAGAGAAGAGGACTAGATTCGCCGAAGAACAAGAGAGTGCTAGAAAGGATGTGTAGCATGCATTTGGTGTGCTCCAATATCACTAAGCTATTGTTCAGCACGATGCTAGAAAATGGAGCACTAGCACTACGTGGGAGGTGATGCCATGTTGTGTGATCATGCACAACATGATCATAGTAGGATGAGCATGATGACAGTATGACCAAGGGTGGGATTACCGGGGTGAGTTGGTTGAGCCTGAAGGCAGAGCGGGAAAGTTTGCACAGATCATCCATTTTCATGATGAAATGCATTATCAAGCAACTCACATTCAACTTCAAGATGATTTGATTGAGCATGTGTGGACTCACATAGTAAATCAATAGTTGTATTTGCTCTTTTCCCTTCATTTTTTCTATAATCTTACATTTATATGGTTGTAAAACTATGCGATTTCTATTTATTTGGCTGTAAGCTATCTGACTTATTTGTTTAATAACATGCGATGTTCCATTCATTTGTGTATTTGTTGTAAATGTCTAAATATCTAAAATGAAAAAAATTAGATATAAAAATGACGGTGATGACCAAATGGGTCACCCCGTTGGACGCACTTACTGGAAAAGAGCGGACAAGGGGTGGACGCCACCGTCCCTCTTGGCCACCCGAAAGAATAAGAAGCGGACAAATTCTGCGTCCGTTTGGATCGGCCTATTAGGCCAACTCTAACGTATAGACCTAAATGGGCGCGGGTTTTGTCCGCATTTTGTTCGTTGAAGTCGGTAGTATGGGCGGGGTTCACCTCTTGTCCTTGCATTTTTGGGCATTGCACCCAACTGGTAGACCCGTTTGGTCCACCTCTCCCCTTTTTTGCAAAATTTGTAAATTTGGACATTCTAACATATAAATCGAATAAAAAATGAAAATAAAACATTGCACATTATTAAACAAATAAGTCACATAGTTTTTACAACACAATAAATAAAAACCACAAGCTTACGACCAAATGAATTTAAAATTATGGCAGATACATTGAACAAAGAGCAGCTACATCTATTGGTTTCCTATGTGAGTCCACCTATACTCGATCAAATCATCTTGAAGTTGAATGTGAGTAGTCCAATGACACATTTCTTGATGAAATTGGGTGTACTGCACATACGTTGTCGCTCCATCCTCAGGCTTAACGTTTTCACCTTGTTAACCCCACCCTTCGTCAAAGAGGTTGTCATCACGCTCATCCTCTATGATCATGTTGTGCATGATCACAGAAGCAGTAATCACCTTGCACATCCTTCGAGTTCTCCATGTTCTAGAAGGATACTGAACAATAGCCCATCGAGATTGGAACACACCAAAAGCATGCTCCACATCCTTTCTTGCACTCTATTATTATTTGGGAAACCTAGCCCTCTTCTTTCCTACGGACTCGGAGATTGTCTTGACAATCGTAAACCACTCAGGATAGATACCATCAGCTAGGTAGTATCCTTTGTTGTATTGGTGGTCACTGACCTCAAAGTTGACATATGGGTATTGGCCTTCCGAAAGCCTCGCGAACACCGGAGAGTGCTGAAGCACATTGATGTCATTGTAAGAACCTGCCATGCCAAAAAAGAGTGCCAAATCTGGAGATCTTGTGATGCCATTGCTTCAATTATGACTGTGCAGGCTTTAACATGCCCCTTATATCGCCTCTGCCAAGCAAATGGCAGGGCCGGCCCTGAGGGGGGGAGGGCAACAGGGGCGGCCGCCCCGGGCCCCCAAGATCCAAGGGGCCCCCTCCCAGGTACACCATGCAATATAGCCCACGATCAGGACTTCATCGTCCAACCCTTTTCCTTTCGATCGCATTAACGTGATAGTGTGCCTGGCCCAACGCACGCACCCCCTTGTGTTTTCCGCCGCCGACGCCCATCGCTCACACCAAACTACAATCCCTTTGCCTAAAAAAACTACAATCCCTAATCGCAGTAGGGCAATCGCGGCCGACGCCGCAGCGGCGGCGACGAAGGAGTAGCTCGCAATTAGGCTTGTCGTCAGGCTCCGGTAAGGTATGCTTTGCTCCTTTTTTATCTAATCTTGTGAGGTTGTATCATTCTATGGAGTTTGAGATTTCGGCCCTTCTTATTCACAGCAAAAGAAATTGCTGTCACCGTGAGCAGGATTTTCCCTTGTCAGTCAAAACTAGGAGCAGTGCTATTATTGTTCGATTACGAATTATTTACCGACAGCACTGTTGACTCTAGTAGCGTACTAGTCAACAGGTTATGTTTAGACAAGTCAAGAGGCACAATGTTTTTGTTAATTTGTTATTGTAAACTTTGGTGGAAGCGTTGAATCCTTTGCTCGGGTCGCATCTATATTTATATCACATGTGTACCGTGGCTTACAAGAGATCGAGAGGATCAAGAGAAATCGGGATCGATCGTTACAGGAGATCAGGGAGGTTACAACAGAAGAAGAGATAGAAAGACACAAGTTTAAAACACCTCTCCTACCTCTATACAATATCATCTAACACTCCCCCTCAATTTAAACCTCAAGAAACTTTCGCGAGATTAGGATTGTACTTGAACTCATCCAACCTCCTCATAGTAAGGGGTTTTGTGAAGCCATCAGCAAGTTGATCTCCAGTAGGTATAAACCGAATGTCAAGTAGCCTTCGAGCTACCCTTTCTCTAACAAAGTGGAATCAACCTCAATATGCTTGGTACGTGCATGAAAAATAGGATTAGCTGACAGATAAGTTGCACCAATATTATCACACCACAATCTAGCAGCTTGTGGAGTCTTGATTCCAAGTTCATAGAGCAATGTTTGTATCCACATTACTTCTGTTGTAGCATTAGCCAAAGCCTTATACTCAGCCTCTGTACTTGATCTTGAGACAGTAGCCTGTTTTCTTGCACTCCAAGACACAAGATTAGTTCCCAGAAACACAACAAAACCACATGTAGATCTTCTATCATCAGCACACCCTGCCCGGTCTGCATCAGAATAGGCAGTAACAAGTAGAGGAGACTTGGTAATCTGAAGCCCAAGTCCTTCAGAAAATTTTAGATACCTTAAAATCCTCTTGACTGCAGTCCAGTGAGTTGTTCTAGGTGCATGTAAATACTGACATACCTTATTCACAGAGTAAGAAATATCAGGACGTGTAAGGGTCACATACTGCAAAGCACCCACAACACTTTTGTAATTAGTTGCATCTTCTGGTCCAAGTGCTTCTCCACTCTCAATTGTAAGTTTTCCAGAAGTTGAAATTGGTGTACTCACAGGTTTACAATTGTACAAACCTACCC